GACGGCACATAACAACAACAACAACAACAACATTGTATGAGCTCTTGTGGCTTTAGTGCAAGAAGTTGTGCTGCTAACACTAAGCATGTAGTTTGCATGTGGTTTGAATCCACCAGCCGCTCCATAGGAAAAGGATGTCCCTTTTACAATGTCATCCTGATTTACTCCCTCAAAAAACCAATGGAGCATCAGCTATGAGTCAGTCTTGATTTGACAGTACACAATAACAAATAACACAATAAAAATAATAACAAGTACACAGTAACAACTTGCTCAAAGTGAGGAGGACTTGAAGCACTTGCTGAAGGTTAAAGAAACACTGCAGACTTCAATATGGGTTGCACCTCAATGTCTAGAAAACAAATATCCTTGCCACTGAGCCAATAGACAACATCATGGTGGGTGAAGAGAAGGTTAATACTGTCAATGACTTTATAATACTTGGATCCACAATAAATACACCTGGTACCAGTAGCCGGAAGATGTATTACACTGAGAATGTCTACAGTCAGGTATGTCTCCAAATTATCAAGGGGCAATGATGTCAATTTGAGGACTAAGGTGTGTGTGATTCTGACCATGGTCTTTTCAGTCATTTGCTATATACATCAGAACTGGACAATGAATAAGGATGATAAAAGAAGAATAAATGCCTTTGAACTATTGTGTTGGAGAAGAGTGTTGTATATCCCATGGACTGCCAAAAGAATAGATATGCCTTGGAGAAAATGCAACAAGAATGCTCCTTGGAGGCAAAGATTATAAAACTTCATCTCACATACTTTAAGCATGTTACTAGAGGTTATTCCTTGGAGAGAGACATCATTCTTGGAAATGTAGAGAGACAACAAAAGAGAGGAAGACTCCTTGTTCATGAGTTGCTATAACAACATACCATGCACTAATGTAAGACCAACATTTTACAACACCATAAGGAATAAAATTACTTTCTTTTAATATAATAATGATAGTTTATCAAAGTACAAAAAATTCATTAAGTTCTTCCTGAAACCTTTTGTTGCCCTTGCCCATCTGTTATTGTGATCAGTAAAATTAATTTTTGAAATTCAATTTCCCCTTGTTGTTTTTAGGTGTCACTGAGTCAACTAAGACTCATAATGACTCTGTGGACTACAGATTGGAACCTTGATGAGTCCTGCACCATTGTCTCACTCTTTACCATGTTTTCCACATTCCAATTAGTAATGGATGTCTACAGCCTTTTCCCCTCATGTTGAGTCTTGCCACATCAGCAAATGAAGGCCCTTCACTGGGTGACTACTTTAATCCATCCTTATCCGCACAGGAGACACTACTTCAAGGAGGCAGTTCTTTCCCAATCACATTTTGAGTGCCTTTTAAACCTAATGAATTCATTTAAGGCACTCTACCTGACAATGGTTTGTCATCCACAAAGTTTTCAAAGCACTATTATTTTGGAAGTGAATGGTCATTCTTACTTCTCAGTCTGTTTTCTCCTTAAAGCACTATTTAGATAGTTTCAACTACCTCTGGATTATTGATAAGACTAAATATACTTTTCTGAGACATACAAACCAGAACACCTGGACAAGACATAATACTGTAAAAATTCCTCATATTCTGTTGTCTTGTCTGTTACCTTTATAATAGCTCCTTATATATCTCTTACAGAGAAAGATTTGAGTTGATCTTACTCTGTCTCCTATATATACTGTTGTTGTTGTTGTTGTTGTTGTTGTTGTTATGGGCCATCGAGTCGTTTGCGATTCATGGCAACCCTATGTGCAACAGCCCTAAACTCTGCCCTGTCCTGTGCCAATTGCACTGCCTCTTATACACCCATCCTGATTACCCCAGTCACTGAATCAATCCACCTCCTAGAGG